GCCAGCCGCTGGGCAGAGTATGCTGGCACCGGGCAGCGTGAAGAGCGCGGGGTGCTTAGGCGCGTGAGGCCCGCGCCCGCCGTGCCCTCAGGCCGCGTGGGCCCTTGCCCGAGCGTGTGGGAGGGGGGGGGGGCGGGGCTGGCGGTGCGGCGCGCTTCCCTGCCTCACCAGCCAATGCAGGGCCCGTCAGGCAGGGAAACTGGGCGAGGGCGGGCGCCGTCGCACCACAACTGGTCAAGACATCAATCAGGAATTGTCCGAGCGGCGCGCCTCGGCGGCTTGCCGGGCGGCGGGCGCGCGAGCGGGCCGGGGCCTGGCGGCGCGATTCGCCGCGGCGGCGCCGTGACTTAGAATTTTTGCGCGTTCCTTGATTCGTGGTGCTGTTGAGATGCGAGAGAAAGAGGGCTATCCAGGCCTGGGAGCGTGCGTTCCAGTTGGTGCACACCAACTTCGAAAGTAGGTCTGGTCGAAGACGTATCAGCCGTCGCCGCGGCCGCACCGAGAGCGGGGCGGGCGGCGGGAGCCCCAGGGTGCAGTACAAGGGGGGGCGGAGTTGGTACGAGCCGCCATATTTTATCTCACAATCGGCGCTCCAAGCGACGAAATGCACCAGGCCCATATCACGGGCTGCGGTACAGGCTGCGGGAGTGGGCGTGCCGCCCAACCCATGCCGCAGGCATTTGCTTTTCAGAGGCGTAGCGGAAGCATCGGCAAATGTACGTGTTGTGATGTTTCAGGCGTGCAGGGGGCAAGCCTCTTGTGCAAGCCAGGGGGGGCCTCGCGCCCTGCGGGGGAACGGAGGCGCGCAAGCTAGCCAGCGGCCCGCCGCCCCGGCCCGCGGGCGTACGGGCGATTGGGTGGGCGGCTGGTTCCGCGTTCACATGGCCAGGCCGAGGCACGCGGCCAACTCGTCATCCTCCCCAAAATCGAGGTCAAAAGGAAACATGTCACCCAGCGGTGGCCCCCCAACCGCCGCCGCGGCCGCCGCAGCAGCGGCCGCGCTCGTCGGCGCGCCGCCGGCGCCCGCCGGCGCGGCGGCGGCGGCGCGTGGCGCACCGGAGGCGGTGGCGGCGTATGCGACAGCAGCGGCGGCGGCGCCGTCTGGCAGCTTCAAGACTGGGAGGTGGACCGGCGCGTTGAGGCTGCTGCTGGCGAGAAGGTTCCCAGGTGGCGGCATGGCCGACGCAAACTCGCCATGGCGGCGCTGCTGCTGCTGCTGCTGCTGCTGGCGCCGCTGCTGCTCCATAGCAAGCAGCTCCTGCTGCAGCATGTGGTGCTGCAGCTGCAGCCGCTGCTGAGCCAGCGCCTGCTGCTGCAGCCCCTGGTGCTGGTGCTGCTGGCCGATCGCGGGCCACGCCGACTCCTGCTGCTGCAGCAGCGCCGCCTGCTGGGAGCGCGCTTGCTGCTGCCTCTGGAGCTGCAGCTGCAGGAGCAGCGCCTGCTCGGGGTCCGTGAACGCCATGCGCTCAAGGGCTTGCGCCTGCTCCAGCTGTTGCCAATCCATCTGTCCCTGCCCCATAGGCTGCATCAGCAACTGCTGTTGCTGCTGCAGCGGCTGCTGCTGCAGCTCGTGTGCTTGCTGCTGCAGCTGCTGTAGCTGCTGCTGCTGCTGCTGCAGTGCCTGCTGCGCTTGCACCTGCTGCGGCGCCTGCATCTGCGCCTGCCCAGCCCGCTGAGGCGCGGTGGCGCAGCTGGCCGAGCTGCAGGGCGACCCGGTGCCCTCCGCCTGCGGCGCCGCCGCCGCCAGCGCCCCCGCCTGGCCGGCGTCCGCCTGCTGCTGGGGCGGCTGCGGCCCCTGATTTGCGCCCTTGGCCTGCTGGCCCTTGGCAGGTGGCCTCCTCCTCGGTTGCGGCGCCTGGCGCCTCTGCGCCGCAGGAGGTGCGGACACCTGCTGCTGTGCTTGTGCCTGTGCTTGTTCCTGCGCCATCGCCGCCTGCTGGGCTTGCTGCCGCTGCTGGAGCATGAACTGTTGGTGCTGGAGCATCAACTGCTGCTGCTGGTGCTGCTGCAGCATTTGCTGCTGCAGCTGCATGTGATGCTGCTGTTGCTGCTGCTGCTCCAGCAAAAGCTGCTGCTGCTGCTCCTGCAGTTGCTGCTGCTGCTGCTGCTGCTGCTGCTGTTGCATCCCTGCCAGTGCGCCCTGCTGCGCGGCCGGGCCAGCGCCGGCCTGGTCGGCGCCGGCCTCGCCCTGTGCGCCGCCCACCTGCTGTGTCTGCTGCGCCACCAGCGCCTGGCGCAGCGCGAGCCGCTGCTGCAGCAGGTGTAGCAGCTGCACCGGCACGACGCCTGCCGCGGCGAGCTCCTTGAGGCGCGCGCAGACGTCCACCATGCTGCTGCCAGGCGGGATGTTGAGGCGCGCGGCGAGCTCAGGCGGGAGGAGGTCTGCGACCGGCGGCGGCATCGCCGTGGGCGCCGCACCAGGCGGCGGGCCGGCGCTGGGGGCGTGGCATTCGGCCTGCGGCTGGGTCTGGGCCGGCGCCTGCGCCTGCACCCTGGGCTCGGCAGCAGCGGCGCCCTGCGTGCCAGCGGCGCCGGCGGCGAGCGGCGGCGGCGCGGCGGGCGGCCGCGAGGAGCGGTCGGCAGAGGCCGCGTCGCCGGCGCCGGCGCCGCAGTCGGACGCGATGCGAAGGCGCTTGCTGCGACGAAGGCCCTCGCTTGGAGGGTCGGCCGCCGCGGACGCCGGCGGCTGCGGCGGGCGGGACGGCTGCGGCTTCTGCGCGTGCGACGCTGCTCGCTGCTGGTGGGCGCTCGCCTGCGGTTGCTCCTGCGCCTGCTCCTGCAGCGGCTTCTGCGACCCCGTTGTGTCCTGCTGCGGCTGCGGCACCGCGTCCGGCGCCGCCGCAGCCCCACCGGTGTCGCTGGCCTCGCCGCCTGCTGGGGGCGTTGCGCTCAGCCGCACCGACCCCTGCCGTTCGGGCACAGCCTGCCCCGCGTCAGTCTCATGTGCCAGGCCGCCGCTGGCGGCTCGCTCCACCCTGCGGCGCTCCGCGCTCTGCAGCGCGCCTGCAGCATTGCGCTTGGTGCCCGTTGCACTAGCGCTGGCGCTAGCTCGGACATGGTCGCCACCGCCGTCGCCGCCAACTTCGGGTCTCGGGGCAGCCGGAGTGTCGCTGGAACTGGCCCCATTAACCTGCCAGGGGCCAAGGCTGCTGCTGCTGCCCCCGCTGCTGGCCTGGCCAGTTGCAGCAGCGCCATGCGCCGCGAACAGGCTGGCGCTGGCGCCGCGAGCGCCGCTCGGCAGGCGGCGCGCAGAGACCTGCTTCAGCAGCTCGACAGGCAAGTCCCGCGAGCCTGACAGCACGCGTGCCGCGCTTGCCGCTGCTGCGGCGACCGCTGGATGGACGCTTGTCAGGCCACCAGACGCCGCGCCAAGATCATAGGCGGTGGGTGCGCTGCTGCCCGGCAGCGGCGCAGCCAGTGCGGCATCCATGTGACCACCACCCCTACTCGACACATAGAACGGTCCCGAGGCAGAGTGCGAGGGGAGGGCCGGGAGCTCAACGTGAGCAAATGGGTGCGTGAGGGTGCTGCACCTGCGGGAAACGAGGGGCCTTGTGGCCAGCCCAGACTCTGTTCCTTTCTCACCAGTGTGACGCCCTGCACGGAGCGCTACCGAGCCCGCGTGGGCACGCCGTGGCCCTTGCGTGCTCGCTCTCCGAAATCGCTACTCCTAAACGTCGTTGCTGCTAGTATTTGAAAACTTGCCGGTCCCTGCGTGAAGACACTGCTGATCGCCGTGTCCAGGAAGAACGCCGAGTGCCCTGCGGCCTGGGTTGTCTGCCCGGCTCTCTTAGTGCTGCGCGCCTCTTACAGGCCACATAATCTCCCATGTTTGCAAGCGGGGTGTCTCGGAGCATCTCTTCGTTGTCGAATCGACCCTCCGTTGCCGAGTGTGGACCCTCCCCTATTCCATTTGACGGTGCCAGATAAGTGCATATAATCATGATGCATGAACTTCGTCGCAAACAGAACCTTGGGTGGGCCTACATCAGCCCCACCCACCCGGCTGGAGCAAAGCGCCAGCCAGCCGTGACGCGCTGGTCAGCTGGGGCTGGCGGGGTTGGGGGTGGCCTCGGTCCCGCACAATGTTCGTCCCCACTGGCCGGGTATGGGTTTACAAGCGCGGCTCCCAAGCCTCGGCGGCCCACCACTCACCATGCCAGCCTAGAAGCACGCCGGGCAAGCAGAGTGGGCACCGCAGCCCCGGAGCCAACAGCGCCAAGGACGTGCAAACAGCCGCCCGGCGAGGGTACTTTGCGCCCCGCACAGGAGATGCGAGCACAGGCGGGAAAGGCGGGCAAAGCCTGTAAGATCATATCTGGCAAGGTGCTGTCGTACAAAGCAGCGGAGTCTCTGCACCCGCGTCCGCGCCCGTGGCCGCCAGCGCGTGGCGGCCGGCGGGCCCTCGGGAAAGGGGGGTGTTGTGTGTGCAATGCTGAGCCAAGTGGCAGGGTCCCGAGCCGCTGCTTTCACGCAGTAGCGCCTGCTGCGCGGCCAGCCGGCCGGCTCGGGTTGCGGCCTGGGGGCCCCATGGTACAGGGGCCCAAGCGGCGGCGGCCCGTTTTCAAGTGCTGCGAGACTCTCCCCCCTACGCCAGCCGGGCGCGCGGAGCACGCCGGCTGGGGCGGGGTCAAGGTTGCCCTACTCTCTGCGGATGCCCAGTCCGGGCAGCGCGCCGGGCCTGCGTGAGGGGCCCGCGCCCAACCCAGGGGGCTGCAGGCGCACACGGCACGGCGCTAACGGCGCGTGCGACGTCTCAAACCAACCTGAACGCACCGGCGCTGCGTGTCCCAAGAAAGACCGCCGTAAATCGCACCTATTCACCCGGCGCGCCGGGGGCGTACCGCCCGGCGCCGCCGATACCCTGCAAGCACACAGGAGCCGCGCGGCACTGCAAGTGCTCGCGGCGCAACAACGCGCACAGTCGTGCGCCCGCAACAGGTAGTCGCAGGCGCGCTTGCAAGCGTGGGCTTGCATGGAGTCCGCAACGACTCGGGGCCCGCGCTGGCTGCAGGCCCCTCACAATGCTCTCGACCTTTGTTGAAGGCGGACCGCCGGCCGAGAATCGTGGTGCAAAATTGCCGTCGTGTTTACGCTTTTCCCCTCCCAAAGTTGAATGCGTAACGGGGACCGGGGGCCCGGCGGCCTGCGGCCGCGCGCCCCTCGCGCACAGCGGCACACGTGCCACGTGCGGCGGCGCGGCGGGCGCGCAAGGGGCGCGCGCGCACCCCTGAGTGAGTCTCGAGCCCCCAAAAGCAGTGCTTCCCAGCACCCCCTCAAGATCGTTGGATGGGGGGTGCGGGGGTGGAGCCGCAGTAAAGTTTGGACGCAATTGCGGTAGCGGGGAGTGTGCCGGCATTTGGGGTGGCCGGGTGGAGTGCAGCCTGAGAGGTAGTCGTGAGGCGGCGCGCAACAGAGAGGAGGGCGGCGCGGGAACGCACGAAAAGCCACAACACGGGCCACGAACAGCCACGGACGGCCAGGGCCGGCGCGCGACGAGCGCGCCGCGCCGCGCGTCCTGGTTCGAACACACCTGTCGAGTGCAGGGCTCCCATGGGGCGGGGCTGGGGCCCTCATGTGCACGACAGGGTGCAAGCGTGTGCGTGTGCGCATGCGCAAGAGCGTGCGCGCGCGCGCACGCGACCTTGCAAGCCACGGGTCGGCAGGGAGACGGGCCTCAAAGCCCCAGCTGGACGAAATGGCCGCCGGGCGCGGCCGTGTAAGTGGGGCCGGCCGGCTGGTATGAAGTGCAGGGGGCCGTGCCCCCCATCACGGGCGCCGGCTCCAAAACGAGCATCTGACCGGGCGCCAGCTGCTGCGCGCTGAGGAACAGCTGCTGTTGCTGCTGCTGCTGCTGCTGCTGCTGCTGCTGCTGCTGCTGCGCCGGCGGGGGCTGCTGCTGCTGCAGCGGCAGCTGCGGCGCGGGCGCGAGCGTGTATGTGGCGCCGGGCTGCCCGCCGAACGCGCCGCAGCCGGCCGGGGTCGCGAACAAGATGTCCGCCTCAGGCGGCGACGGCACGCCCTCCGTTATGACGGGCGCCCCCCCAAAGCTGAGCCCGCTGGCGGTGCTGATGCACGAGGCCCGCCGCGCGCGCGGCGCGAGGCGCGCGGCCGCGGCGCCGTTGGGGCCGGCAGAGCAGTAGCTCGCGGCGGACCCGCGCCGCGCGCGCGGCGGCGG